TCTCCCAGGGAGGTCGTGCATTCACATGCCCATAGGTTTCTAGGCACTTGTAGGCCTGTAAACACCAATGTGCTGCTGCACTTGGTTTTGGTCACTGAAATTTTCAACAAATTCATATTAAAACCAAAGAGAAAAGTAAATGGGGCCAAGTGAGTGCTATGGAAGACCTTTCTCTCTGTCTCTCCCTCTCACTGTCTATACCTCGACCTCTCAAATAAATAATTTCTTTCTTACAAAAGTGATCTGAATGTCTTATTGCTCCTGAACACCATCACCCCTACAACTTTGGAACCTCTGCTCTGTATAGCTCATAGATAAGTAGGCATGGAATCTGTAAAATGTCCCCATTTTGTGGGAAAGGCAACCAAGGCACAGATACTGCAGAGTTCTGACGAGGTTGGCAGCACCCAAGAGAAGGCCCTGCACAACTTCCAGCAAGAGCAAACTCCCAACCGACATCCAGCAATGCAGCCAGACAAAGAGGCTCAGGAGACTCAGCAGTCCAAGGCACAGGGAATCACTGAGATTCAAATCAACGAAAACTCTGGTATACTGGGAAAGGAAATGAGAGTGGAAAGATCCAGGCCAACTTTGGAGAAGCAGAGAATTAAAAAAGTGGAACTTTGGATCTTTTTTCTTCTCTCTCTGGATGGTGGAGGCAGACTTAGGATGGCCAGTGCTGGCTGGGACACAAGAAGCATTTGTTTTGTATTCTCTGGGAGGAGAAGATACTTGTGAATGAAATTTTCTGGGTCACTGCCCAGAGCACTTACTCACTACACACAGATCAAGGATTCCCTTGTCACCAGAATCCCCTATGCCCCCACCAGCCTCTGCCTACAGGTGACACTTGATGAATTCCCATTTGGCCCCTGTACACCTCCAGTAGCATTAGACTGGGCACTGAGGAATGACGATAACACCATTCCAGGCATAGGAGGGTATTGAGGCTGAGAGACTGGGTATAGGAGACAGACATCATTTTTAAAGATTTTTAGTTGACACATGATAATTGTCCATATTTATCAGGTCTGGTGTGAGGTTTCAATACATGAAGACCAAATGTAATGCTCAGAACAGAGTAATAGGCATTATCTATCACCTCAGACCTTTATCAATTTGTTATTGTGATTAAAACATTCAGAATTCTCTCTTAATAGCTACTTTGGAATACACAATAAATTATTATTGTTAACTGCCGTTACCCTGTTATGCTATAAAATGCTAGAAACCAATTCTTCTATATAAGTATTTTTGTACCCATCAAGCTAGTGTACATAGTTTTTTCTCTCTATTCCCAGGATCTGGTAACCATTCTCTCTGCTTCTGTGAAATCAACATTTTAGCTTTTAGATATGAGACAGAACATGTGGTATTTGTCCTTCTATGGCTGGGTTATTTCACTTAGCATGCCCTGCAGTTCCATCCATGCTACAAGTGACTGGATTTTTTTTTAAGATTTATTTTATTTATTTGAAAGGCAGAGTTATAGAAAGAGAGAGGAGAATAGCGCGTGCAAGAGAGAGCAAGAGAGAGACAGAGAGAGATCTTCCATCTGCTTGGTTCACTCCCTAAATGGCTGCAATAGTCAGAGCTGGGCCAGGCCAAAGTCAGGAGCCTGGAACTCCACCTGAGTCTCTCAAGTGAATATCAGGGATCCAAGCATTTGGTCCATCTTCTGATGTTTTCACAAACACATTCACAGGGATCTGGATCAAAAGTTGAGCAGTCAGGACTGGAACTGGAGCTCATATGGATGCCAGAGTTGTGGGCAGTGGCTTAACCCACTGAACCACAACAGCAGCCCCCAGAATTTCATTTGTTTTTCTGACTAAATAGGATTCCGTTGTATATAATATTCATCTGTTCATGGGTCAATGGACACCTAGGAAACTTCTCTATCTTAGCCATTGTGAATAATGCTGTGATAACAATGAGATCACAAGTATCTACAGAAGAGGGACAGTATTCACTGCACAAGGCATTCTCAAGGGGAAGGTGCTTAGCAGAGTGGCTTCACCTGGGGCTTTGGCATTTGGGGTAGGTGAAGATGGGTCATGGACCAGCTCTTAAGAGTGAGGGAAAAAATGCCACCAAGAAGACGCTGGCCAGGATGGAGCTGGGAGAGCAGCAGTCCAGCACAAGGTGCCTGCCAAACTAAGCCAGCCTATAGGCATCAGAGTGGGGAAAGGAGTTAGGGGAATTACTATCAATCAGGTCCTCATTATGCCAGGCAGGTGCCATGGTCTCCCTTTCATAATAGCTACCTTTGAATGAGCATCCATTGAGTCTCAGGTACTTTCTGTCCATGAACTCACTTACTTCACAGTGATTACTCTGTGATTACTCTGTGAGTTGGTCATTAAAATCTCCACTGTTAAATTAGGCAAAAGGAACTCAGAAAAGTTAAGTGGCTTGCCTTAAGTTACACAGCTGGTGCAGACCCAAAATTTGAATCCAGTTCTGATCACTTTAAAGTTAGTGTTTGCTATGTTAGTCAGTCAGTCATTCCTCAGTGCCAACACTCCCCCAGATCTTGGGCACAAGAGATTCCATAGGAAAAAAGGACGTCCTGACTGTTAGTCATGATAGGACAGCATAAATTCTGTAACAGGTACCATCCAAATCTCAGGGGTTTAAGGTAATCAATAAATCTAATCAGTGTCACAGTCTGGTGCTGCTTGGAAAGGGTGGGGGTGGGTTTGGTTGATGGACTACTTGTGCAGTCATTCTGGGGTCCAAGTTCATTTCATGGTGTTTCTTGTCCATCTTTTTACATCCTTAGAATCTCTTATTGAGTCCTCTGTAATCTGCAACAGATAAGGGAAAAGGGAATATAAAGGCAGACATTTGGCACAGCAGTTAAGCTGCCCCTTGGCACACCCTCATCAAATTCCAGAGGGCCTGGTTCAAGTCCCAGGACTTCACCTCCAATTCATATTCCCTCTAATGCACACTCTAGAAGGTAGCAAGTGATGAGATTAAGTCCTTGGGGCTCTGACCCCCCATGTGGGGGTTTCAGTCTCCCAACTTTGGCCTGGCCAACCCTGGTATTTGAAAGTGAAGCAGCAGATGGAAGATTCTCTCTCTCTCTCTCTCTCTCTCTCCTCTCTCTCTCTCTCAAATAAATACATACATACAACTCCAGAGTATAGGGTGTGGGCCCATCTGTTCAACTTCCAAAGGGCCTGGGGAATGTACTTCAGTGGTGAGCCCTATGAGAAGAGGAAATGGATTCAATGAACATCTGTGCTGTCCCCAGAGTATCAGCTCTGCTGATTTCTTGCTTGCAATCTTGGATGGGGTACTTAACCACTCTATGCCTTCACTTCTTCATCTATAGCATTAAGGTAACGATATCATCTATGTTATGTGACAAGATTAAGCAAGGATTAATACACGTGAAACATTTAACACAGAGGCTAGCACACAGTGAGCGCTGGATAAATGACATCAAGCTGTACTCGCGCCATCTTTTAGAGACCATAATGCATGTTAGAGTAGAAGTCCTCAGAAGTCTCAAAGGAGAGAGACTGTTTTTTTTTTTAAATGTTGATTAACCCAGGCTTTCCCAAACATGTTTGTCCTGCAAAACGGTCTCTTTTTTTTTTTTTTTTTTTTTTTTTTTTTTTTTTTTTTTGTATGACACCTTTCAAGCATCCAGTGAAACTGGTATTTAATCTTTCTGACAAGTACATTTCTTTGGCTCCATTGGAAAGATAGGTGGGTTCCGGGGAAGTTTAGTAAACCAAGGTCTGAAAACTATTGATTCTAGAGAGCATTAAAATTCATCCTCTACTTGTTAAATGCTTATGAAGCATGTTCAGACATACTCTGTTAGCTCACTTGGTTATTACTATTCTTATTATTGTGCCTTAGCATAGGCACTGTGTATATTACCATATATACATATATTCTATATATATGCATATATGAATATATATATTCATAGAGATAACAAAAAGGGAGCCTAAGCAAGGTAAAACCAGTGCCTTAGTCACAGAGCTGGTAATTGCTAGAGCTGATATCCAAGCCCAGATGTATCTGAACTTGAGAGTCTACAGATTTTTAAAGAACTGGTACTGCAGCCAGGCTCTAAAAACATAGCTCTCCAGTGGCCTTTAAAGAAAGCTGGACCTCAGCACTAACAAAACACTACAATAGCCTGCTGCTTTTTGTCAGCCTTCTTGGGGAAGGATAATAGGTTTGTGGTTACCAATGAGCTCTTTGACATTGAGATGTAGGAGAATTTAGAGCATTATGATTTAGGAATTTTGAGGGGATGTCAAAGGGTTCAGGGTCTGAATTACAGATAAAACATATAGCCTACCAACCTAACTAGGGTTATCACAATGACCCTGTTTGAGCTATATTTGTTCCTCTTTCTTTTTTCCACTCTCCAATATACTCAAGAAACTTTAGAAAATAGAAATGGATCAATTTAAAGTTTTATTTCTGAAAAACTTTTGCTCTTTGTAATGTGCAGGACCATTCTCCTTTGATGGGAGACACAGATACTTACCTGAATCTAGGTTGAAAACATAATGTAAAAAGGAATTATGATAATAGATACTTTGCAATTAAAAAAAACTGGTGCTGGACAACTATTTTTGCTATATTCTTCAGATCCAAATAGGATGTTCATTTCTTTCAGATATTGTTATTAGAAGTTATTCTTTGTAACACTTTACTGCATTATATCAGACATGTATATACTTGAATGGAAGAGTGAGGGAGTGAGAGATCTCACATCTGCTGGTTCACTCTCCCAGATTCCAACACATCACCAATGATCAGTCAAGTCCCACTGACCTTGGAAAGCAACCCAAGTGCGCATGCGCACTGAACACTCCTGGCCACCAGGCTTCTGTGCACATGTGTAACTCACAGAGCTCGAGAGCCAGGCGTGCCTGTGCAGTTGTGTATTCAGGCGTTGCTTGGCAACAGGTACTGTGAGCTCAGAGAAGTGCCCGAGGCCCTGGCTTGTGGCTCCAAACAGCTGCCACAGGTGCCTCAGGCCTGGGAGTCTGTGAGAGGTGGCCACCAGTCTCGGCCCGGAAGAAGGCTTGCTGCTTCCCATATCAGAAGGGGGATCAGGTGTGAAAACGGTGGATCTGATGAAATCCCAGTCCGGGATCTGTCAGCGCGGGTGGAGTGGCCCAAGACCACCTTAGGTACGGACTACCTGACTGACCTCCTCCTTGAATACTTCATTCATTGTCACAGCTTTTTGATGGGCTGTGGAGCTGTTTCTGAGGGTCTAATCATGTGATCTGCAGATATGGACTTTTGGTTTTCCTCCTGTGAAATTTGATGCCTTGTTTTCCTTTTTTTCTTTCTTTTTTTTTTTTTTTTTTCATCCCATACCCTGAGTGAGAGCCCTGCTTGTGCAGACCCTGTCAGAGTGACAAGCCTGGTTTGTCGGGGACCTCTGGTTGTGGCAGTTTTGCTTTTTCCCGCCCCTCCAGTCTTGCTTTTTCTGTGCACCCTGGGCTTGATAGCCCTTCTTTGTCCTGACCCCGGGTCTGACAGCTTTGTTTTGTGCCACCCCTCAGTGGGTGATAGCCCTGCTTTGTACCACCCCCTGGGACTGACAGACATGCTTTGCCCCTCCCCTCTGGGTGTGACAGCCCTGCTTTTTTGGAACCCAGAAGTGACAGCCTTGCTTTGTCCCGGCCCTCTGGCTGTGGCAGTCTTGCTTTGTCCTGCCCCTCTGGGCATGGCAACCTGCTTTGTACCACCTCTCAGGGAGTCACAGCCCTGCTTTGTACTGCCCCCTGGGACTCACAGCCCTGTTTTGCCCTGCTCCTCTGGGGGTGATAGCCCTGCTTTGTCCAGCCCCTGTCAGAGGGACAGACCTGGTTTGTCCAGGCCCTCTGGCTGTGGCAGTCTTGCTTTTTCCCGCCCCTCTGGGCATGGCAGCCTGCTTTGTACCACCCCTCAGGGAGTGACACCCCTGCTTTGCTGCACCCCTCTGGGTGTGACAGCCCTGCTTTGTTCCAACCCCAGGAGTGACAGCCCTGCTCTGTCCAGCCCCTGTCAGAGGGACAGACCTGGTTTGTGCAGGCCCTCTGGCTGTGGCAGTCTTACTTTGTCCCGCCCCTCTGGGCATGGCATCCCTGCTTTGTCCTGCCCCCTGGGACTGACAGCCTTGCTTTGTACTGCCCTGTGGAACTGACAGCCCTCTTTGTCCTGACCCCTGGGAATGACAGCGCTGCTTTATCTCCTCCCTTTGGGAGTGAGAGCCCTGCTTCCTCCTGGCCCTCTCTAGGAGTGATAGCCTGCTTTGTACCACCCCCTGGGAGTTACAGCCCTGCTTTGTCCTGCCACCTGGCAGTGACAGCCCTGCTTTGTCCTGGCCCTAGGCCTGTGGCAGTCTTGCTTTGTCCCGCCCCTCTGGGCATGGGAGCCCTGCTTTTTCCCAACCCCTGGGATTGACTGTGCTGCTTTGTTCTTCCCCTCTGGGAGTGACAGCCCTTCTTTGTCCTAGCCCCCCTCCCGAGAGTGACAGCCCCATGTCTGACTCCTGCTGGCTTTCTCTTTTTCGAACTGCTCTTGATATGGCTTCCAAGACTCCATGAAATAAGAGCAGTCAGAGTTGATATCTTTGGTTCCAGGTTTGAGGGGAACTGACAGATGACTTTGCTCTTCTAGTTTTCCTCCATCTGGTCCTCCACTTGCATAATGGGTACAATCAAGTTTTCATCCTTCTGGCTTCTCTTTGGATTGTGACTGTGACTTGATAGTCCCAGGGAGTGTTGCTTTCCTGAGTGAGTGGGTAAATGAGTGAATCAACACAATGCTTCCTGAAGTCGTATTGTTTCCCTGTAATGGGAACGAGTGGCCAAACCAGTCATTGGAAAATGTTGATATTCATGAAAATTTTCTGTGAGAAAAGAAAATAATGACAAATTGACTTTAGTTGATTAAACCAGAAAAAATAATCTGCGTGCAATTCATTATATATCAGCTTTTTGATGGGCTGTGGAGGTGTTTCTGAGGGTCTAATCATGTCATGTACAGATATGAACTTTGGTTTTTCTTTTTATCCCACACCCTGTGTCTGAGAGCCCTGCTTTGTCCATCCCCTCTCAGAGTGACAGATTTTGTTTGTCCGGGCCCTCTGGCTGTGACAGTTTTGCTTATTCCCGCACCGTGGGATTGACAGCCCCGCTTTATCCTGCTCCTGTGGGAGTGACAGACCTGCTTTATACAGCTCCCTGTGACTGACAGCCCTGCTTTATACAGCCCCCTGGGACTGACAGCCCTGATTTGTCCCGACCCTCAGGGGGTGACAGCCCTGCTTTGTACTGCCCCCTGGGACTCACAGCCTTGCTGTATCCTGCCCTTTTTGGTTTGAGAGCCCTGCTTCCCTGGCCCCCTGTGATGATAGGCCTGCTTTGTCCCCCCCTCTCAGAGTGTCTGCCCTGCTTTTTCCCAGCCCTTTGGCTGTGGCAGTCTTGTTTTGTTCCACCCCTGTGGGCATGACAGCCCTGCTTTGTACCACACCTCTGGTTGTGGCAGTCCTCCTTTGTCCTGCCCCTGGACATGGCAGCCCTGCTTCAGTGTCCTGACACTTTTTACTAGCTTAGTTCTTCTGGACTGCAAGGACCAGTTTCACAAACATCACCAATGCTTAGTCAAGTCCTGTTGACCTTGGAAAGCAACCCAAGTGCTCAGATTCACCCTGTTCATGTGCACTGAGCACTCCTGGCCACCAGGCTTCTGTGCACATGCGCAGCCCACCGAGCTCATGAGCCAGGCATGCCTGCGCAGTTGTGTGTTCAGACATTGCTTGGCAACAGTTACTGGGAGCTCAGAGATGTGTCCTGACATTTGTTGACTACCCACAATGTTTTCATAGGAATTTTCAACATGAGAGATTTATTTGGAAAATAAGAATCGATAACCCAAAAAATAATACTTTATTATTTCTACCTGCAGCAGGACACATTCTCAATTAGCTACAATCCTTGAATCTGTTTTCCTCCTTTGAAACTCAAGGCCATCTACTACTGCCAACAATACATACACACAAAGGAAGAAGATAGAGAACACTTCATGCCCCACTTTCTACCTGACAGCACCAAGTAGCCACAACTCATGTTGTGTGAGACTGCAAAAGAATACTCCAGATTACAGCAGAGAGGGGAAAGGCATTCTCAATTTTAACATTGCACAGATCCATATGGTAGAAGTTACAGATAATAGATTCAACTCCAAAGAATTCAAGGGAACCTTGGCATTTCAAATGTGAATCTTAAATAGATGCTGAGTGAGAAAGATGTCTTCACAGTTGGTTAATGAAAAATATTCCACTGTGAAGGATTAACTGCTGTGTCTGAGAATGCAAGAGCACACAGGACATGAAGGAACCGAACTCTGTTGAAAAAGACAATGAATTCAGAGCCTAGAATGAAAGTTGATCCAGAGTCACACAAGCTTAATGTTTACCCTTCTTCTCACTGAGGAAGAATTTAATGTCAACCCTACTGCATGGCATATTTTATGTGTTGACTGTAGATATCTCCATGGTTAAGTTGAGTAGAAAGTATGTGTAAAACATTTGTCATGAAGTGTGAATTCATTCCTTCTCTATAACTTGAATAGTAAAAACATTCTGTGTCAATATACAATGGGAGTATGGGAGAAATAATTTTAGTCTGGACTGGAGGACTAGAGAAGTCCCTTATTGAGAATATCTGGTACATCCAATATTCCCTATTACCACTTTCACGACAGGTAGAATCACACTTCCTCCATTTGATGGAGGGAAACCTGAATCACAAGATGACACAACCTGGAAGAGCTAATCTTGCAGTGGAAAGACTCCAAGGTCTCTCCATTCAATGGTTCATTCACTCCCTTCTATTCTTTTTGAAGTTGTATTGATTTATTTGAAAGGCAGAGTGACAGAGAGGCAGAGGCAGAGAGAGAGAGGTCTTCCATCCACTGGTTCACTCCCCAAATGGCCACAATGGCAGGAACTGGGCTGATCCAAAGCCAGGAGCCAGGAGTTCTTCCAGGTCTCCTCTGCAGGAGCAGGAGCCCAAGGACTTGATTCATCTTCCTCTGCTTTCCCAGGCTATAGCAGAGACCTGGATCAGAAGTGGAGCAGCTGGAACTTGAACCAGCACCCATATGGGATGCCAGCAATGCAGTTGGTGACTGTACCCACTACTCCACAGCGCCAGCCCTTAACTCTCTTCTTAAAATGGGTCTAGTAGGTCCTAACAGCAAGGAAACTGATCTTTCTCCAAGCATCCTAACATCCTTATAAAATTTTCTGGCAAAGGCAAGCAAGTGAAATTTATTATATAGTGGATGATACATCCTTGGAATAGTGATGAAATGTTTCTATAACTCATGATCTTTTGTTACTATAAAATAAGGTTTCTTCTTTTTTCAAAGATTTATTTTATTTATTTGAAAGATTTACAGAGAGAGGAAGAGACAGGGAGGTCTTTTTTAAACTTTTAATTAGTAAATATACATTTCCAAAGTACAGTTTATGGATTACAATGGCTTCCCCCTCCAACATTCCTCCCACTCGCAACCCCCCCAGCTCCTGCTCCCTCTCCCATTCCATTCACATCAAGATTCATTTTAAATTATGTTTATATAGAGAAGATCAATTTAATATATATTAAGTCAAGATTTCATCAGTTTGCACCCACACAGAACACAAGTTCTGTTTCAGTACTAGTTATAGCATGAATTCACATTGAACAACACATTAAGTACAGAGATCCTACATGAGGAGTAAGTACACAGACTCCTGTTGTTGACTTAAGAACTAATTATAAAACCCTCTTGGGGCCGGCTCTGTGGTGTAGCAGGTAGAAGCTGCAGTGCCAGCATCCCATGTGGGTGTTTGTTCAAGTCTCAGCTGCTCCACTTCTGATCCAGCTCTCTGCTATGGCCTGAGAAATAGTACAAGATGGCTCAAGCCCTTGGGCCCCTGTACCCATGTGGGAGACCTAGAAGAAGCTGATGGCTCCTGGCTTCAGATCAGAGCAGCTCGGACATCGTGGCCATCTGGGGTGTGAACTAGCCAGGTGGAAGACCTCTTTCTCTCTCTTTCTACCTACCTGTAACTCTGCCTTTCAAATATATAAATCTTAAAATAAAAAAAGCTGGAGCCAGCACTATGGTGCAGTGGGTTAAATCCCTA